ACTTTGTTGAAATAAATGGATTACTCTGTGGTATTTTCCTGTTTTCACATTTTGGGCTAAATCCCCCCCTTTTTTTTCTTTTTTTTTTTCTGTAATTCCACTCTAAACCAGGTCCAAACTAGATCTTAACCATGAGTAAACCAGGACTAAAACCAGATCTAAACTAGATCTAAACCAGGTTTAAAACCAGGACTAAACCCAGACTAAACCCAGACTAAACCCGGACAAAACCAGGACTAAACCAGGATTAAGCCAGATCTAAACTAGATCTAAACCAGGTTTAAAACAGGACTAAACCCAGACTAAACCCAGACTAAACCCAGACTAAACCCGAACTAAACCCGGACAAAACCAGGACTAAACCAGGACTAAACCAGGATTTAACAGGACTAAACCAGGTCTAAACCAGGATTAAGCCGGGGCTAAACTAGGACTAAACCCGGACTAAAACAGGATTTAACAGGACTAAATCCTGCTGTGTGGACGTGTCTCTTCTTCTATCAATAATATTTTTAATTTGGGTCAGTAAAATCTGGACTTTTTATTTTCTTTTATCAGACAAAACTTCTTATGTTACGATTTCCTCGTCTTTGCTTCTCTAAAACAAATCAAGTAATCCAAAGTATTCAGATTACATTACTCACTTTATGTAATTTAATGGATTACGTTACAAACTACATTTTGGTGTGTGTAATCTGTAATCTGTAGGGGATTACATTTTAAAAATAACCCTCCCAACACTGTGTGCACATAGACACAAACACACACTCACACACACACTTATACACACACATGCACACACACACACACACACTTACACAAACACACACACACACACACACACACTTATACACACACATGACACACACGACACACACAACACACACACACACACACACTTTTTATACACACACACGGAACACACACTTACACACACACTTACACACACTGGCACACACAACGCACATACACACACACACACAAATGCACACACACACACACACACACACACTTATACACATGCACACGGACACACACTTACACACACAAATGCACACGCACACACACACACACACACACTTATACACACACACACACTTATACACACACACACACACGACACACACTTACACACACTGGCACACACAAACGCACATACACACTTACACAAATGCACACACACACACTTATACACACACACGGACACACACTTACACACACACTTACACACACTGGCACACACATACGCACTCACACATGCACATACACACACACACACACACACAAACGCACACACACACGCACACACATGAACACTATGCACATACACACACACAAACACACACACACACACACACACACACACACACACACACACACACACACACACACACACACACACACACACACACATCACACACACACACACAGACACACACACACACATTTAAACCAGATGCCCTCCCGCTCACACGTCACACGTCACACGTCACACGTCACAGTCCGTGTGTGCGTCTGATTGATTGGACTTTAGTCGTGGACGTTTTTTTTTGTGCGTTCCTTTGTGGATCAAAATTTCATGGAGCGATTTAAGCGCGGTGAAAAATGAATGTTACTTTAAAGTTTCATCATGGATCAGTGGGCGCGGACACACACACACACACACTGCTCACACACTACTGCTGCACACACACACTCGTTTGACTAAAACACACTTAACTGAATTACATTTAAAAAAAAAAAATCTGTTTCAGATGTTGTTTTTTTCCAATTTTGATTAAAGGTGCACTGTGTAACATTTGTAGCTGATATCTCCATGGAAATGTTATTGCTTTGTCTAGAATGTTCCAGAGTGTAGCTTAAACCTTTCTATCACGAGGTAGACAAGCACTGCGCCACATTACGAGTCAGATCTGTGGAGAGGCGCCCCTATTCACAAGCAATTACGTGACAAATTAACTAACAAGCTTCAAAAAAATAAAACTAGTTTGTGGGAAATCGGTTGACAAAATGTTTTTAATTAATGAATTTGCTTTGTCTAGAATGTTCCAGAGTGTAGATTAAACCTTTCTGTCATGAGGGAGACAAGTGCTGCGCCACATTACGAGTCAGATCTGTGGAGAGGCGCCCATGCTCACAGAAAAAATTATAGTATTTTTGAGCAATAGAAACACACGTAATGAAAAAAAGCTAAATGGAAATGTTTAATGTCATACTGTGGAACATTCTAGACAAAGTGATAACATCTCCATGGAGACCCTTTGTCAGAAAAGTTCCACAGTGCACCTTTAAGTTTGTAATCCAATACTGGAAACTGGAAAAAAAATTATCCTTGAGTAATCCCGAAGCAACATTTTTACTTTGGATTTTATTTTAAATTTATTGAGTTAAATTTACTAATAAGCAACTAAATGACAAAATTAACCAACAAACTTTAAAAAATAAACTAATTTGTGTGTCTAGAATGTTCCAGAGTGTAGATTAAACCTTTAAGTCATGAGGTAGACAAACACTACGCCACATTACGAGTCAGATCTGTGGAGAGGCGCCAACATTCCCTGAAAAACTGATAGTATTTTTGAGCAATAGAAACACACGTAATGAATGAATGAAAACGAAAACGCCAGATGGGAATGTTTAATGTCATACTGTGGAACTTTCCAGACAAAGTCGTAACATCTCCATGGAGACGCTTCACCAGAAAAGTGACACAATGCACCTTTAATTTTGTAACTGGAAACAACATTTTTACTTTGGATTTTCTTAACATTACTGAGTTGAATTTAGAAAGTAAGAAATTAAAGAAGATGGAAATGTTTAATGTCACACTGTGGAACATTCTAGGGAAAACAAGAACATCTCTATGGAGACCCTTCACCAGAAAAGTTACACAGTGCACCTTTAAGTTTGTAATCCAATACTGTAAACTGGAAAAAGAGAATCTTGAGTCGTCTGGAAGCAACATTTTTACTTTGGATTTTCTTAACATTACTGAGTTGAATTTACTAATAAGCAACATTTTTAAAAACTAGTTTGTGTGGAATCGGTTAACACAATATTTTTAATTAAATCCAACATTTTATTTCGTATTTAAGTGCACGTTGATGTAACTCCATAACTGTTCAGCAAACTTAATGTAAACAATGGATAAAACACACCGTAGTTTTGATTCAACTCATAAAAATCAACAAAAAACACCTTTATTTGGTCAAATCAAGGCTTAAACTGACACAAAAACGCAGCTTTTTGTACTGATAACGACAACTCCGAAGTGGTTTCTGGTTCGTAAATGTTGTTTTGCATTGAAAACAGCTAAACACAAACACGTACAAAGTTCATTTCATATTTAAATAGTTTGTACGATTTCGGAATGAAGCTTACCGCGTTGACGAGTAAAAGTCCACCCCCATTTAATGTTTTATAACTTATCCTGTACTGCTGAATTGTTAATTACGTGTCTTAATTGTTCGTACGGTGTCCTTCAGTGCCCAAAAAAGCTCCTTTAAATAAAACGTATTATTATTATTATTAAAATCAGATCGAATAATGAGACAACAAACACAATAATTCGATCTTTTTAGACTTTTGCTGCGTCTGCGATTCAAGATATAACCTTCTTTATCTATCGATTTAAGAACGATGACAAAATTAGGACCGTTGCCGTGGCGATTAACAATTTCAAACGTAACATCGCGTCGTTTCAGCGGGGGAAAAGTCCTTAAAACGTCACGGGAAGCTGATATCAAGGAACACTTTACGTCAGGGGTGTCCAAACTTTTTTTTTTTTTTTTTTTTCATCAAGGGCCACGTACGTAAAAACATAAACGAAGCAGAGGGCTGATCGAGGGCTGGACTGCAGCTCGATACTGTGAATAATTGAAATTCGTGCGTGTTTATTTATTTATTTACTTCATTCATAAAGTATAAAACGACATCAAGAGTGTCGCAACATCAAACGTACGAGAAGTGAATGAAAAGGAGCAGAAAGAAAGAAGAGTCGTCGTCTTACGTTATCTGCCCCTTTAACCTTTTCAGGACATAACACCAACACTTATAGTTATTAAACATTTCAAATCAGTACAAATATTAATAAATTGCAAACAGAAATCTTCACTTTTATGCACAACAACTTAGTTTCCTTTTTCATACAAACACATTGCGCTTTTGATTGTATGTGTTTTGTAAATGTCGTCATCGTACTTGACTCTTTTACATCTTTGTCAAGACGATTCCATAAGTTAAATCCTTTCACGGTGCAACAACTCGCTCCATAATCTTGGTTCTGAATCTGGGTTTTTTTTTTTTACGTACTTTCCTTTTTTTTAAATTGTAGTGGCTTTGAAAATTGTACAGGTAATACATTGCACGGTAACACTTTATAATAACTACACCTTATTTAGCCTTAATAAAGCATGAACAAAGACTTAATTAATAATGATTCATGTTTAGTAACTACTTAAATATTACCTGAATTAGCACTTAACTTGCAGTTAATTCACCTGTGCTGTAAATAGTTACTCATAAGTATTTCTTACTTAATTACTCATGAACTAACCATTTGTGTGTGCATTTGTAAATGTATATTTAAGTCCAAATTTGAGCATTTATTAATGATTAATAAGACATGAGAGAATGATTTACTAATAATGCATTATTGTTTCTCTGGAATTTGATCAACCTTAACAAATGCTTAATAAATCATCATTACTCTTCACTTTAGAAAAGCTCTCAGAAAGACTTAACTAACAGATAACAGCTGCCTGAATGATCATTGCATTGTATTATTAGTAAATCATTCTCTCATGGCTTATTAATGATTAATAAATGCTCAAATGTGAACTTAAATATGCATTTGTAAACATGCAAATGGTGCATGAGTAATTAAGAAGTACTGAGTAACTATTTACAGCACAGGCGAATTAAGTGCAAGTTAAGGGCTAATTAAGGTAGTAATTAAGTAGTTACTAAGCGTGAATCATTATTAATTAAGTCTTTGTTCATGCTTTATTAAGGCTAAACAAGGTGTAGTTATTATAAAGTGTTACCCATTGCACTTTGCTCTATACATGACTTCGAGGAGACTTAAGTCAACAAAATTCTGCACTTTCAACACTTTAAGGTGAACAAATAAAGGTTTGGATGTCTCTTTAACACGTTTAACACGTCAAGAAGAGCCATCAGTTTTTATTCACGCTAAAATCCTTAAAAAAACCACACACGTAACATTAAACATTCACTTTATCGACATAGATTTTCAAAAAACTTGCTGTAGAAAGTTAATTTGTAATTGATGCACGGTAATCTGGGCCAATCCACCTGGACGCTTGAGGGCCATGAAAACATTGTCTGAGGGCCGCATTTAGCCCACGGGCCATAGTTTGGACATGAATGTTTTACAGTGTAGATAAAAACACAAGCTTGATTCAAATATTCCTTGTTTTATTCTATTATTAACATGCAAAAATTGGTTAAATAAATATTAGTTTTGAATAAAATCGTGTGTTTTTTTCAGTAAACACATAATATAACATAAAATTCACGATAAAGGCCTAACAGGTTACGATTGAGAAGTGAAAAATGCGCAAAATAGTTTTAAAAAAATGAATAAATACAGTGCAAGTTGTTATTAAAAGCGGCTCTGAACGCACGCGAGCATCTCTGGACTTTTTTTTTTTTTTTTTACGCAAATATTTCAAACCACCCGTCACGTTTTCCCCCCGCATCCACGGAGAGAGAAACATTATTCCAGCATCTGCCTGTCACACGTTCCCCACAACCCGCTCTCCAAGTGCAGTGCAGCGCGCGGCGGGCGAACGTGCGTAAAAAAAAAACCAAAAAAAACACCAAACCAGTCCAAAAAACCTGCACAAATCCGCTCGTTTCGCCGCACGGGCCACGGGGAACACATGACGCACGCGGCCTCTTCCGTGTTAATTACAGACTCTTTTTTTTTTTTTTTTTTTTTTCAATTAGCGACGTTGTGACTTAATTAGAAGTGAGATAAGATAATGGGATGATTTGACAACCGGTGCCACACTTACAGCGCGCGAGCCCGTGACCTTCTCCGTGCGTAAAACTTAACTCGTGATATTTTTCTGGCTAAATTTGCAGAGATTGGTTAAGAATTCCGAAAAAAACTGGGAGTGATTTCTTGTATTGGAGATGGAATAATTTGGTTCGGGTGCAGTGGAGGAGCTGTGGCGCTGTCCGCGGTGAAGGAGCTGAAGCTGAAGCGATGCAGGATGTTGGGAGGAACGCGAGGCGAAATAACAAAAGGGTGTATCTTAAAACGCTGGATGTAGTGCAGTTGTACAATGAGGTGCAAGGTGTTAAGTCGTTTGAAATAAATGCCTTGTCGCGTACTGCCCATGCGCAGAGTCCCCAGCGGCGCCGCGGCTGCTACTGCTGTGGCTAATGAAGAATAATAAATCATGAAAGCCTTGTTCAGGTACAAGAGAGAAAGAGGGAAAGGATGGAGATGAGGAGAGGAGAGGAGAGGAGAGGAGAGGAGAGGAGAGGGAGTGGGGGCGCGTGCGTGAGTGTGCGTGAGTGTGCGTGCGTGTGCGTGCGTGCGTGCGGGGAAGAGAGATAGAGGGGAGAGAGAGAGAGCGACAGAGAGGGAGGCAGGAGGCGGAGAGGAGAGCCCTTCTCCTCAGAGCTGAGACGGTCGTGGTCCCCGCAGCATTCACCGGAGTCACGGAGACATCCCGTCGCCAATTTTATCTCCTATTTCTACTCGGAAACTTTTATTTTTCGTATTTGTCATTTTTATTTGACCAAAATAAAAAAGGTCACCGTGAGAACCGCGTGAGTAACAAAGGATTTTTCTTTGGAAATCCCATCACCTAAAATCTACTGCACGAAACTTTTTTTTAATTTTTCGTTTTCTTATTGGAAGAGTTTTCTAAAATAGTAGAAACGAAACTATTTCTTAAAAATATTTTTTTGTGTGACTGGAGAACGGACTGGTATTTTCCAACTTGATCTGCAGGTATCTGCGCGAACCTTTGCATGGCTCTCTCCAAACCACCACGCGCTTGTAGCAGCAACAATAATAATAAATACATGTGAGAAGTTGACGAGCCTCTTTTCAGCATCCACTTGACTCGACTCAATTGGGCTCCGACATCTCCTCGACCCTTGGAGGCGGAGTCTTAACTTATTAAAGGAACTTGCGGAAGCTCGGACGCGCGCAAATATGATGATGATGTCTCTGAACAGCAAGCAGCCGTTCGCCATGGCGCACAGCAGCCTGGCCGAGCCCAAGTACTCGCTGCACTCGTCCTCCGCGTCCACGCTGACCTCCAGCGCGCCTTCCTCCTCGTCCTGCTCCTCTTCCTCCCGCATCAGCAGCACCATCATCAGCAGCACCAGCAGCAGCAGCGGCAGTTCGGAGGCGATGCGTCGCGCCTGCCTCCCAACCCCACCGGTACGTACTCTGCATAATCACTGCTTAAAGGCACGTTTTGACAGCCCACTTTTTCTTTGCTTGATGTTTTTTTCATGTCTGCACAGCAAATCACCCAACACCTTCATTTCCAACTATTAATTTTTATGACCTGGGATGTTGCATGTGTCTTGTTTTGTGTGCTCCCCCCTTTTTTAGGATTTTTTTCCTTTCTGGAAATGTTTTAAACCGAGGAGAGAGGGGCGAGGAGAATTCCCCACTGACAACTATGTGTGCATTCTATTTGCAATTGCAGAGCAATATATTCGGCGGCTTGGATGAGAGTTTGTTGGCCCGCGCAGAAGCTCTGGCGGCGGTGGATATCGTCTCGCAGACCAAGAGTCACCACCACCACCCTCCGCACCACAGCCCCTTCAAACCGGACGCGACCTACCACACCATGAACACGCTGCCCTGCACCTCTTCCTCCTCCTCCTCTTCCTCCGTGCCCATCTCACACCCCTCCGCTCTGGCCGGACACCACCACCATCACCACCACCACCATCACCATCAGCCGCACCAAGCCTTAGAGGGAGACCTGCTGGACCACATCACCCCGGGGTTGGCGCTCGGATGCCCCGATGGATCAGTGGTGTCAACCCCGGCGCATCCCGCGCACATGGCGGGGATGAACCACATGCACCAGGCGGCTCTCAACATGGCCCACGCGCACGGGCTGCCACACATGGGCATGAACGACGTGGACGCGGATCCCAGAGACTTGGAGGCTTTCGCGGAGCGCTTTAAGCAGCGGCGGATCAAACTGGGGGTGACCCAGGCGGACGTAGGGTCGGCCTTGGCCAGCCTCAAAATCCCCGGCGTGGGCTCGCTCAGTCAGAGCACCATCTGCCGCTTCGAGTCCCTCACGCTCTCGCACAACAACATGATCGCGCTCAAGCCCATTCTCCAAGCGTGGCTCGAGGAAGCGGAGAAGTCTCACCGCGAGAAACTGAACAAACCGGAGCTTTTTAACGGCGCCGAGAAAAAGCGGAAACGCACGTCGATAGCCGCTCCGGAGAAGAGGTCACTGGAGGCCTATTTCGCCATTCAGCCGCGGCCCTCCTCAGAGAAGATCGCAGCCATCGCAGAGAAACTGGACTTGAAAAAGAACGTGGTGCGCGTTTGGTTTTGTAACCAGCGACAAAAACAGAAAAGAATGAAGTACTCTGCATGTGTCTAGATCCACGTGGAGCTGTCAGCATTTGTATCATATTTCACAACACCTTTTTCAATCATCGAACTATTTCCTCTAAAAGAAAATAAACTCGAGAGTAAAGCCCACGGTGGGGTGGACATGTGGAACCGTTTGACACAGCAAGTAAGACACTGTTTTTACAATTGACTATTCCGCACAGCTTATGTAGCTCCGGGACCGTGTCGGTTCCTCTTTGGGGATAGGCGTGTGTTTGTGCGTCAGGCGCGTCAGGGGGGACTTTTAAAGCACTTGTTTGGAGTTGACTCGGGATTACAGGCCCCGCTGTAAATGACCACACTTCATTTTGTGTCTAAATGTGTAATTATGAATTCTTTGTGTGATCTAACGGGGCTTTGTTTTGAAGAAGCTCTTTTATTTACAAAAAAAGGCCTCACTTCACGTCAAAACAGCTTCACTGCTCTTTTCTCCCCCTAATTTCTAAACCGGCTGCAATAACTCCAGCGTGGGCCGGCGTCTTATGAACTATTTATTGAGTGAGGTCATGTTTACTTCATTATATATTTATTGGGATTCCCCTCCTCGTTTTTGCTTGAGAAAATCAAATAGAGACAGCGGTGCGAGGCGTGTTTTGAAGACGGTACAATCGAAAAGAAATATATGCGTTGTTTTCCAAATGCTTTCTGTATGTTTTGTATAAATATACTTATGGAGTCGTTGCTTGTTCGAATCACCTTAAAAATGTTTTGTTTCTTGAGAAAAAGAGCAGCTTTGTGAAACAATGTAAATATGTCATTGATGCACATAACTATATCCGTACAGGTTTTTGCTGTATTGCTGTTTTAGCTGATCTTTCTGTATAATGTATGTTGCTTTGGGCTTTGGAATTGACCTGCTCCTTTATTTCCATCCATGTAACGTTAATTTATTTAATTATTGAACTGCAATGTGTTTCATTAAAGACTTAACTTTAACTAATTTAATCGGACGTCTTCTTGCGTGTCGTGCGCATGCCCCGTATTTACGCCGCTTTTATTTAGTCATCTGATTATTTATGGATGAGGAGGAGGGCAAGTGTTTAGCTCTGGACTGGGCTCCTCTCAGCTCACTGCAGACTTGAGCTTTCACAGCGTTGCTCTGCTGGTGGTGGTGAGGAGGCTCCCGGCGTCACGGGACCAAATCAGATCTGGGTTTGGGGACACGTTTTTACGCATTTGGTTTTACGCATTTAGGTTTTACGCATTTAGGTTTGAGCAAAAACTATGAACTCATGGGTCTGTGTGTGATTTAAACGGACCAAATGCTGAACAATTCCTGTATATAACAATGTACCAACCTGATGTGTGTACAGGCTAAAGAAATTAACAAATGGTACAGTCTTATTTTGAGAATTGCGGAATCCGTTTTGAGTGTTTTTAATTTAATTTTTAGACATATTTGTTTTTGTAACGAGCACTGACACATTTACTTCTACTCCCATCACTCCAAAAAGCCTAAGAAAGAGACCAACTGGATAAAATATTGCACAAATTACAACATTACAAGTGTCGTTTTGTATTTTATCTCATGTGTATCTGTGTTTACATAAAAAGTACACATATTTAATAACGATTGGCACTCCAAACGTGCAAAATCTCTGCATTTAGGCTTTGTTTTTTTGAGGTAGGACTCGTTCATGTGCATATTCTGCGAGTTTTTTGTTTTAAAATGGCGCACACATGGAGAGGAAGCAAAAGATCGTAACTCTGATGTTAATAAGATGTGTTTTTTTAAAGTTATTCTGGTCTAAACTCATTCCCAGAGCAAATTTGACCTGGAAATTCCTTTGTGTTTTTTACTGAAGTGATCCAAATCTGTGTTTATTCACTGTTTCGTGTGTACGCGCGCTCGTGCCGGCGCCGCGTGTTGCTAAAAGTGTTGTTTTAGATGAAGATGATGGACAGGGTCAGCAGCTCCATGTTAACACGGGAACTCCCGCCTCTCCTCTGCTCTACATTCACTCTAAAGCCTTGAGCACGGGCCCACCCTCTCGCCCCCCTCGCCCCCCAAACACGAGTGCGCGTGATCCGTACGTGCCTCGCTCCCGGGCCTCGCGCTGCCAGGCCTCACACGCGCGTTAAAGAGCACGTGGCTGCTTAGTGGAGCGGCTTATCCACGGCTCACTGTTGCCTTACCTGAGAGCAAATGCTAATATTCTATTAGAGCCTAATCAGGAGGTCTGCGGAGAGCTGGATGGCTCCCTGGAGCGCGCACTTGCCAGATGTCAGCCCGCCAGAAAAACAGCTCGCCTGCCAACGTGCCCGTCTCCATTTAAATACACACGCGCTTTGAAGCAGCACAAAAAGGAGCGCGGGGTTAGAGCGGAGCGGAGCGGGACTGCGGGCGGCGGAGGATGGATGGGAGCGAGCTGAGCAAGCGTTTCAGCACCATGGACAGATCAAGCAGCGAATCAAACGGAGCCGTGTTCTGCCCTCTGAAAAAGAAAGGAGAAAAAAAAGAGAAAAAAAAGAAAAAAACCTCTAGTCTGTTTACGGTCCAAGCGTTTACGACATTATTGTCACTGGAGAAGATTTCACAACAGGACGATAGCAGTGTGGATGACCCCGTTCTTTGGAATAGATGTTTGTATTTCTCAAAAAAACAAGAAGGAACATGTGGTTAAGATGATTTTAAAACGACGCTTGTGCCAAATCATTAAACTACTAGTATTTACACGACTCCAAAAACGTAAACAATTCTACAAACATGGATTTTTAATGTCCCTGCACCAACATAACCCCTTGTCACGATTGTAGTTTTACATTTGGATGCTTTTAGTTTTGTATTTGCACAGATCTGAGTGTTTAGCTGTGGTTAAGGAGGAGCATGGTCTGTCCTAAAGAAAAGGTTACACGATAAATAATTAATTACATATTTTATTAGGAGGACAGCCTCTTTATCTAACCTAATTCAGATATATGGGCCGGATATACACGCAAATGCCACAAATGATATCACTCACTGCGAGCAGAGGGAGTAGGAGTAGGAGTAGGAGTAGTAAAATGTCACTTTCTAGGTTTTAAATCGTCTTAAGCAACAGAAATCCACGTCTAGGGCTGAACCAAAGCGCCACACTGTTGAAATGTAAACAAAATATGAAGAATTTGGATTTTATTTAAGATTATATCCACTCACTACCTGATCTCTCGCTGTCCAATTAGCATTTCCAAGATCCAGGCTCTCATTACGCACATCACCTGCCATACATTTGCATAGCATTATTATTATCACCGTCAGCGTTTCCAATGGATTCAAATTGCCTTCAGCTCGCCCGCCATGTTTGAATTTAATCACGCATTCTACCACATTCAGGATTTTTTTTTTTTTTTTAACCAAATACGATAATTTATCCAAACGAGTGTCATGGATTAATATTTATCCATCAGAACGCGTTTAACAAAGTGCTCGCGTCGCCATGTTCCAACGCGCGTTAACGAGACAGCTCTGAGTGTTCATCAATTAAAAGATGCTCCTGGTGAGTGGCCCTAATTTCCCCCTAAACGAGCCATTGACTTAATAAGAGCGAATTATTAAATTATACACATGGAATTATGAAAAGCAGATGATTACGAGGGGGCCTCTTTAAGGAGTCATTACGCGCGGTGTTAATTAGAGCTGGTCAGGGAGGGCTACGTGTGTGTACGTGTGCGTCTGCGCGTGTGTGTGTGTGTGTGTCCTCTGGGATTGCTCCCCCCGTACGTGCGCGCGCTTCTCTCTCGTGCACCTGTGTTGCCTGGCTGCTGCAGTGGTGCTTCTTTTTGGGGGAGAAGATCGATGGGTGCTCTTTGATAGCGAGTCAATACAGGCAACGCGTACATAGCAAAGGGCCTGGCACGGCGCGTAAAAAACCGAGCTACAGAATTACGCACGATTGTGTTCACGTATGAAAGCTTGTCACGTTTTTCTAATTACGCCCTGGTGTGGTTAGGGGGGTACCTGTGGTCAAGATTTATCATAGTTTTAGATCAGTCAGTTAAATGGCAGGTTGTAAACAAAAATATAAGAGGAAAAGTACAAAAATACAGAATTACGCACGATTGTGTTCGCCTTTTAAAACCGTATGAGAGGTTTTCACGTTTTTCTAATCATGCCTTAGTGTGTGGGGGTGGTGCCTGTGGTCAATATTTATCACAGTTTTGGTTTAAGTTTAGTTAAATGGCAGTCTGTGGAGAAAATGAGAGGAAAATGAGAGGAAAATTGCAAAAATACAGAATTACGCACGATTGTGTTCGCCTTTAAAGACCATATGAGAGGTTTTCACGTGTTTCTAATCATGTCTTAATGTTTTTGGGTAGTACCTGTGGTCAATATTTATCATAGTTTTAGATTAATCAGTTAAATGGCAGGTTGTAAACAAAAAAAATAAGAGGAAAAGTGTAAAAATAAAGAATTACGCACGATTGTGTTTTCACGTTTTTCTGATTATTGCTTCGTGTTTGGGGGCAGTACTTGTGCTCAATATTTATCTTAGTTTTAGATGAGTTAAATGGCAATCTGTGAAGAAAAATAACTGAGAGAAAAAGTACAAAAATCCAGAAAGTAGTGGTGAGTTCTTAAAGCTTCAGTAAGTCATTAAAATCAAAAATCCCATCCATAATGCAGAGACAATTTCCGCGCATGTGAGGCGTTTTACTGACTTTAAAACAAAAATAAAGGCGTTGTCATCTATTGAAATGAGTCTAAACGTAACTACTGTGCGTAAATTCCCTTTTGGCATTATGGTTTCTATGGGCAACAGTAAAAAAAATAAATAAATAATACCTCTGGCAATGTCACAGCTGCGCGCGTAAAAGCGAAAAAACGTAAAAAAAAATGGCTAACTTAAATCAGCGTTTTTATAAATAAATAATTCAATCCAAACAGGGCAAGATTTTTTTTTTTGTAAATTCTTCATGTTTAAGCAAAAAATGGGCACGCTAGTTTACCTGTCACACGCGCTTTAATCAGCGCGTGCACCGTTATCCACGTTATCCATAAGGACACAGTGG